AGACCCTGTTTCAAAAAATATATATACTTGAAGCAATAATGGCCCCAAACTTTCCAAGTTGGGTAAGGACATAAAGTCAAGAAGGTGGGCAAATCCCCAACAGGATAAAGCCAAAGAAATCCTACATGCAGACACATAATTAAATTGCTGAAAACTAAAGGCAAAATAAAACATCTTGAAAGCAGTGAGAGAAAAATGACTCATTACCTGTAGGAGAACAGTGATTTCAATGACTGTGGATTTCTCATCCCAATCTGTGAAGGTCAGTACTATGGTTTGAGCATTCCCACCAAAACTCACGTTGAAACCTTAGTTTCCAGGGCAGCAATGTTGGCAGATGGTGCCTTTAAGAGATTATTAGGTTGTTAAGACACATTAATGTCTTTCTTGTGAGACTAGATTAGTTCTCATGGATTATTTCTCTCTGAAATGGATTAGTTCCTATGAGAGTGGGTTGTTATAAAGTGAGGCTGTCTCTTGTGTTTGGTTTCTCTGCATGCATCTGCTGCCCCTTTGGCTTCTCTGCCATGTTGTGATGCAGCACGAGGCCCTCACCAGCAGCTGAGCAGATGCCAGCACCATGCTGTTAACCTTTCCAGCCACCAGAGTTGTGACCCAAATAAACCTCTTCCTTCGTAAGTTACCCAGCCCCAAGTATTCTACGATAGCAATACAAAACAGACTAAGACAGACAGAAGAAAATGACACAACATTGTTTTTTTGAGATGGAGTCTTGCTTTGTCACCCAGGCTGGAGTGCAGTGGCACGATCTCAGCTCACTGCAACCTCTGCCTCCCGGGTTCAAGCAATTTTCTTGCCTCAGCCTCCAGAGTAGCTGGGATTACAGGCATGTGCCACCACGTCCAGCTAATTTTTTTGTATTTTTAGTAGAGACCGGGTGGGGGGAGGTTTCACCATATTGGCCAGGTTGGTCTCGAACCCCTGACCTTGTGATCCACCTGCTTCAGCCTCCCAAAGTGTTGGGATTATAGGCGTGAGTCACCGCACTGGCCAACACAATATTTTTGAAATGCCAAAAGGCTGAAAGAAAATTGACCCTGAATTGCATATCCAGTGAAAATAGCCTTCAGGAATGAAGGTGAAATAAAGAATTCTCATATGAAAGAAAACCAAGGGAATTCATAGCCATGATACCTGTTCTAAAAGGAAGTTCCTCATTTTTTGAGATTGAGTCTCACTCTGTTGCCCAGACTGGAATGCAATGGTGCAATCTCGGCTCACCACAACCTCCACTTCCCAGGTTCAGGCCATTCTCCTGCCTCAGCCTCCTGAGTAGCTGGGATTACAGGTGCCTGCCATGTTGCCCAGATAATTTTTGTGTTTTCAGTAGAGACAGGGTTTCACCATGTTGGCCAGGCTGGTCTTGAACTCCTGACCTCAAGTGATCTGCCTGCCTTGGCCTCCCAAACTGAGGGATTACAGGCATCAGCCACTGTGCCCAGCTGGGAAGTACTTTAAACTATAAAAAGGATACAAAAAGGAAACTTGGAACATCAGGAATGAAGGAAGAAGAACAGGAATGGTAAACATCTTGGTAAATATAATCGACTATTCTCCTTTTGAGTTCTTTAAAACGTGCTTGACAGTTCAAAGCAAAAAAAAAATAACACTGATGAGTTTTCAATATATACAGAATATATAATACACTTGTAACATGAAGGAGAAAGGCTCATGCCTGTGATCCCAACACTTTGGGAGGCCGAGGTCAGGAGTTTGAGACCAGCCTGGCCAACATGGTGAAACCCCGTCTCTACCAAAAATACAAAAATGAGCCGTGGTGGCGGGCACCTGTAATCCCAGCTACTCAGGAGGCTGAGGTGGGATAATCGCTTGAACCCGGGAGGTGGAGGTTGAAGTGAGCCGAAATCACACCACTTCACTCCAGCCTAGGAAACAAAGTGAGAGACTCTGTCTCAAAGCAAAAACAAAAAACAAATCAAACCTGAATTTCAAAGAATTGAAATAAAAAATATGCTTTTAGCCGAGCACAATGGCTCATGCCTGTAATCCCAGCACTTTGGGAGGCTGAGACAGGTGGATCACAATTTCAGGAGATCGAGATCATTCTTGCTAACACGGTGAAACCCCATCTCCACTAAAAATACAAAAAATTAGCCAGGCGTGGTGGCACACACCTGTAGTCTCAGCTACTGGGGAGGCTGATGTAGGACAATTGCTTAAACTTGGGAGGTGGAGGTTGCAGTGAGCAGAGATGGCATCACTGCACTTCAGCCTGGGTGAAGACAGAGCAAGACTGCATCTCAAAAAAAAAAAAAAAAAAAAATGCTCTCTGACCATAATGGAATTAAAACTGAAATCAATACCCAAAAATATAATAATAAAATCTCCAATCATTTAGAAATTAGACACATTTCTAAATAATCCATGGGTCAAAGAAAATGTCTCCAAGGAAATTAGAAAATATTTTGAAGTTAACAAAAATGAAAATGCAATATATTAGAGTTTGTGGGCTGCAGAAAAAGCAGTACTGAGAGGGAAATGTATAGCATTAAATGTTATTTTAGAAAAGAAATGTCTCAAATCCGTAATTGGAGATTCCAATTTAAGAAACTAGAAAAAGAGCACAATAAATCAAAATAAGGCAGAAGGAAGAAATAAGAAAGATAAATCAATGAAATTGACAACCAAAAAAATGAAATCAAAAGGTAGTTCTTTGAAAGATCAATGCAACTAATAAACCTCTAAGAAAAAAGGCACAAATAACCAGTATCAGGGATAAAAGAGGATATCACTACAAACCTCTCAGGCATTATTAAAAGGATAATAAGGAAATGCTATGAATAACTACACATATAAATCTGACAACTTAGATGAAAAGGATCAATTCCTTGGAAGCCACAAACTAATAGACCTCACCAAAATTAAATAAGGGACCCAAGTGGCCTTATAATTATTAAGGAATGTCAAAAACCTTCTGAAAAAGAAATCTCTGGGTCCAAATGGTTTCACTGATGGATTTTGCCAAATATTAAAAGAATAACAATAATTATCCACTATCTTTCCAGGTAGTAGAAGAGGGAATACTTTCCAATTCATTTTATAAGGCCAGAATTACCCTGATGATGACCACAGACAAAAGAGAGTAGGTGCAAAAATCCTCAACAGAATATTAGAAAACGAAATTCAGCAACATACAAAAGTGATAATATACCATGACCAAGGGAGGTTTATCTCAGGAATGCAAGAATTGATCATATTAACAATCTAAAGAAGGAAAACCATGTAATCATATTAATAAATGCAGAAAAGTAAATGAGAAGAGAACTTCCTCAATTTGAGAAAGGCCATCTACAAAAATATATACAACTCATATCATATTTAATAATAAAAGACTTCATGCTTTTCTCTTGAGATCAGGAGCAAGACAAGGCTGTCTACTCTTAGTATTTCCATTCAACATAATACTGGCAATCTTAGCCAGTGTTATAATGCAAGAAAAATAAAAACAATACGGATTGGAAAGAAAGAAAGAAAATTGTCTCTATTCACAGAAGACATGATTATATACCCAAAGAATCTCAGAGAAGCTACGGAAATACTCTTAGAACCAATTAGTGAGGTTAGCAAACTCATCAGATACAAAATCAACCTATAAATGACAATCACACTGCTATAAACAAGCAATGATCAACTGAAACAAATCCAAAAAATAATAATAAGGCTGGGTGTGGTGGCTCACGCCTGTAATCCCAACACTTTGGGAAGCTGAGGTGTGTGGATCGCTTGAGCACAGGAGTTCAACATTGCAGTGAGTTCTGATCATGCCACTTCACTCTAGCCTGGCCCATAGAGCAAGACCTTGTCTCTAATAATAATGATATTTACAATAGCTCCAAATAGTGAAATACTTGGATATAAATCTAACAAAACATGGACAAGATCAGTATGCTGAAACCTATAAAACCCTACTAAAAAAATTGAAGACCTAAATAACGGGAGAGACATGCCCTGTTCATGGATAAGACTCAGAATAGTAAAGATGTCAGTTATCTTCAAATTGTTTTACAGATTTAAAGCAATTTCAGGCTGAAGCATGGTGGCTCATTAATGTAATCCCAGAGCTTTGAGAAGTCGAGGCAGGAGTACCACCAGGAGTTTGAGAACAGCCTGGGCAACATAACAAGACTTCGTCTCTGAAAAGCAAAAAAAACCCCAAAAACCAACCAACCAACCAACCAACCAACCAGACAAAAAGAGCATGGTGGCACACGTCTGCATTTTCAGCCCAGCTACTTGGGAGACTGAAGCAGGAGGGTTGCTTGAGCCTGGGAGGTAGAGGCAGCAATGAGCCATGATCACGCCACTGCACTCCGATCTGGGCGACAGAGCAGATCCTGTCTCAAAAACAAACAAACAAAAACAAAAAAAGCGATTCCAGCTAAAAAATTGTACCTGCATTTCTTTTGTAGATATTGTCAAGCTGATTTGAAAATTTATATGGAGGGTCAAATGAATTAAAATAGCCAAAACAATTTTGAAAAAGAGCAAAGTTAGAGAAATCACACTACCCAAATGTAAGGCTAATGTATAGTGACAGCACATCAGTGGTTTCCTTGGGACAGGGGACAGGCAGGCAGAGGGGCTAAAGGCAAGGATTATGACGGGCCAAGAAAAGTTTTGGGGTAGTGGATAGATTCATTATCTTATTTGTGGTGTTGGTTTCATGAATGTATATATGTGACAAATTTGTCAAATTGTACACTTTAAATATGTACAGGCCAATTATAACTCAATAAAGCTATTTTTAAAATAAGCATTCTTTCCAAAGAGACATATTACTTTTACATCCAGTAGGTGGCAGCTGGAACCAAGGATTTTGACAGCATGTTTGAGTCTTATCCTCCAGCTGCATTTTAGTTTGTAAAGTAACATAGAGGAAGTGTAATATCTAAGTAGGTTAGTTAGCACTGTGGCATATTTTATAAGATTACGATGAAAATAAAAAGGAACATAATAAGTCATTACCAGGTTACTATTTATTGTTCCTTGAAGCTTTAATATAGTTAGGTATGAAATGCAGAATCAAGAAGAGATACGTACCCACCCACCCCGGCAATTTACAAAGAATCAAGAGACTGACTGACAGTTGAACGATTCTATGTCATTCTATAGTACCTTTTACGGAAAGCCTTACAGTGTGTTATCAGAACCACCTGTCGCTCCTTGTTAAAAAATGCGCTACCTTTTAAAAGTTGTAAATTAAAATTTAGCCCTGTTAATAAGATCCTTGCCTCATTTTTCTAACTAGATTGAAATTTTAGCCCCAGAATTCTCTAGTTGTCTTCAGAGCTCCCTCTGGCAGGAAAGACCTGTCCTCATCCTGCATAGGAGTAGGGAGCAATTCCTTTGACCCCCAAACCAGTTATCTGTTGAAAAAGAAAAGAGGAAAACTCAGACAAAAGGTAATTCACAAGTATTCTTCAAAAGCATTTTTATGATTTGTAATAATATACTTAGCCACCTATTGTCCTTGTTTTATTTCCTATCATAAAAAGGAACTACCTGACTGGGTATTTATGGTCTAACTCAATTATTCATACAGTTTACAATTCAACTAGCAATCATTTATGACTAACTTGGATTTAAAACTGAATTAGTTTTATCATCTGCCACCCGGAATTAGTTTTATCATCTGACACCCGCTAAGAAAGAGGTTTCAACATTATGTATTTATTTTCAGCTCAGAAGCTCTATGATCTTTATCAGTTTTTATCCTGCTGCCAAAAGATGTTAAAAATCGGAAAAATCCTTAAGACAGCAAAACAATCGACCTTCTAGGCATGCTGCAAACACTGGTTTGAAGGATTTCAAATATTGGTTTGAAACATTCTACTGATTTGAAAAATTTCAATAAACATGAAAAAAATCAAAGTAATGTACAAAGTAGGGTAAACACATCATCTTGGACTTCAGATAAGTTACTTTCTGGAAAATCAAAATAAGGCAGGGCACGGTGGCTCATGCCTGTAATCCTAGCACTTTGGGAGGTCGAGGCAGGCAGATTGCCTGAACTCAGGAGACTGAGAGCAGCTTGGGCAACATGGTGAAACCTCGTCTACAAAAAATGAGCTCGGCATGATGGCATGCACCTGTAGTTTCAGCTACTCGGGAGGCTGAGGTAGGAGAATCGCTTGAACCCGGGAGGCAGAGGTTGCGGTGAGCCAAGATTGCACCATTGCATTCCAGCCTGGGCGACAGAGCAAGATTCCATCTCAAAAAAAAAAAAAAAAAAAAAAAAAAAAAAAGAGAAATAAAATGTTTTTCAGTCTAGCATGATGAGCTTACCTTGCTAAATAGGATAATGCTTTGGAAGTATGCAAAAGTACCAAACAGTTACTTACGGGGGACCCCCCCACCCCACCCCCAAAATAAAAGAAATAGCCATATCACCTTGAAAATTCCACCAGCTTCAGGTTGCCTCAAAAGACCCTCGGGGTCCATTCCATCCCGGGCGCAGGTCACATACATTTCAGAGTAATCCTTCCCTCCAAAGCAGCATGAAGTTGTTTTATCAACAGGCAACTTCACAGTTTGAAGTCTTTTCCCTAGACCACCAAATATTTTATTTAAAGTTTAAGTTGTAGCAATTTCCAATCCGTGTATCATTTCTGGGCCCTTTGCAGAGTAATAGGCAAGATCTAAGAAGACTGTAGAGGTCAGGATTCTTCCATGCATTTAATATTTAATCTACTTGCCCTGACGATTTATTTTGAGCAAAAAGATGCACCTCGACAGGACAAGAAATTCTGATTGTAGCTTTTGGGCTATATCTCTGCCTAGCCATGACAAGGATTTTTCATTTTGCTGCAGGCCTACCTGTCACAGGATCTAAACGAATCACTCTTCCTCCATTGTAACAGGCCACCCAGAGCTTCCCCTCAGCATCAATACACATTCCATCTGGAATTTGTTCTTCTTTTTCCAGCTTGTAAACACTTCTGCGGTTGGCTATGGTTAAAAGACAAAAACAAAAACAGAACCACAACAAACAAGAGGCCACTAAATACTGAGAATCAAACAGGCAGCTCTCAAGCTGGTTATAAATACTGATCACTTTGGCTTATCCAGTGTCTGGCATGTGAACAAAGGATTTTTACCACATGGTTGGGATGGATTCATTGTCTTCTGTTTGGGGATAGGCATATCTGTTTAAGCTTTCAGAGGGAGAGAGAAAAAAGAAAGTAGAATTCTTACAAAACTACCAATAATAGTTCTTTTTGAAGCTGACCTGAACTGGGGCCCTGCATATCTCTGTCAAGTTCATGTCAGCTTGTGGTTAGACCTTTGCTGTTTCAGTGACAAAAATGCCTACTTTGATCAGCTCTGAGATCCGCAAGGCAACTTAATGGTACCACGTGAACAGTTCATGAAACAGAAACTAGCAAGATATATGAGTTCTTTTTTTGCCTCACTGAGTGCTTCAAAATCAAGACCAAATATTAGAAGAGCCGGTTTCTGGCAGGAGGGGCACTCAGAAACCAACTAGGTGGCCTTAAGGGGGATAACCACAGTACACAAAACACAAATATAAACATTAAGAAGAACTTTATGCTACAAAGTCCAGGTCACTGCAGTCATCAGATTAAGGCAGAATGGAAAAATGTTAAAATCACATATAATGAAAATGGGTAAAAACAGTCATAAAAAGAGAGCACTACGTGTCTCTTTCTTTTGACTTTTTTTGAGATGGAGTCTTGCTCTGTAGCCAGGCTGGAGGGCAGTGGCGTGATCTTGGCTCCCTGCAACCTCCGCCTCCCAGGTGCAAGTGATTCTCCTGCCTCAGCCTCCCCAGCACTACATATTTCAAAGGAAAACATCTGCACCGGAATAGTTTGCCTCTGATTAAATCTGCATGCAGAGTTCTGGGGATGTTTTTCCCAAGTCATTTTTATTATTAGTTTTGCTCTTTTGTTTCATAAAAGGTTCGGCACCTTTCATGAAACAGTTTCAAGGACCCTCTTCTAGCTTCTAAATAATTCCTTTCCTCCAAGTTTCCAATTACGGCTCCTTTCAAGCGTATTGATGGAGTTGGACAACGTGCAAAGACTTTCTGTCTTGATCTCCATTTTGAAAGGTTGGTAATTAGCTTCTGAGTACTTGCCTATGGTTAACTTAAGTACAAACAAGAAACAGCAATCAAAAACCCCAAGTTTTCTGTTCTTTTGCCCCAATATTCTGTTACCTATTATCTGCCTTTAGGCACCTCCTGGGAGAACAGGATCCCTTTTGAACTAAGCCTGTTTCTGATGATGATGGCAAGGAAGAGGATTGAGACTCTATCCATATTTTTCTTAATTATCTTTTATTAGCTCCCCTGGATCTATTCATGTTATACCAAACTCCTGCCATATTTCAATATGTTGAGGGCCATGATTTGACTGGCGGCACAGTCAAGTCTGTGCTATCATTACTATATTGGAATAATAGCATCAGAAAACTCTCCATTTAAGTAAGGACCTCTTCAGATGGGGCAAGGGAGAGGCGCCTTACTAGTCACAAAACAGATGAATACAATAGCAGCAGCACTCAGACAAACAGTGAAAAATACGTACAGATCTGTCCTGTCTGCAGGTCATAGTCAAAGGCATCCACGGAGTAGGACAGGCTGTCGATGTAATAGAAGGTTTTGTGATCTAGCGACCAATCCAAACCGTTGGAGATGTCCACCTGGTCAAAGTACTTTTTCACGTGGTGGTCAGGAAAGAGGGAGTACAGGGCCCCTTGGTGTCGCTCAAGAACTGCTGGAGCTGTTTCCTCAGCCATGGTGCCTACAAAACCCAAAGAACTCTGAGCTCTGCCCACAGCATCTCGCCCATGCACGACACCATCCTTTCTCACTAGGGACCCTTTCCGGTGATTAAATCAAAGGGAATCACTATACAGTCGGGCACGGTGGCTCACGCCTGTAATCCCAGCACTTAAGGAGGCCAAGGTGGGCGGATCATGAGGTCAGGAGTTCGAGACTAGCCTGGCCAACATGGCAAAACCCCGTCTCTACTAAAAATACAAAAATCAGCTGGACATGGTGGTTCGCGCCTGTAGTCCCAGCTACTCGGGAGGCTGAGGCAGGAGAATTGCTTGAACCTGTGAGGCAGAGGTTGTGGTGAGCCGAGATCGTGCCACTGCACTCCAGCCTGGGAGACACAGTAAGCCTCCATCTCAAAAAGAAAAAAAGAAAAAGAAAAAGAAAAGAAAAGAAAAAAAGGAAATCACTACACAATTTCAATCTGAGCCCTATATATACATTTTTAAATGACAATTACCTTGCATATAATGCAAATTAAAACTGTGCTGAGAGGTTCTGGTTCAAGATAACAAGGAGTAAACATGCACGAACCTCATTTTCTCCCACCGGGCACATTTGTAAAACCTGGATAAGGCCTGGCGCGGTGGTTCATGCCCGTAATCCCGGCACTATGGGAGGCCGAGGCTGGCAGATCACGAGGTCAGGAGATCTAGACCATCCTAGCCAACATGGTGAAACCCCGTCTCTGCTAAAAATACAAAAAGTTAGCCGGACTAGTGGCATGCACCTGTAGTCCCAGCTACTCGGGAGGCTGAGGCAGTAGAATCACTTGAACCTGGGAGTTGGAGGTTGCAGTGAGCCCAGATCGTGCCACTGCACTCCAGCTTGGGCCACAGAGTGAGACTCTGCCTCAAAACAAACAAAAAACCTGGACGAAATGCATGGCACAGCCATCTTAGAACTCCGAAAAGCAAATATTAGCAGGCAGCTCAGGGAAGAACAACAGAATTGGAAGTAGCACCGAACAGATGGTGAGCTCTTCATTTTCTTCTCTGCTATCTCCCAGCCTGAACTGAATGCAGCCTGCAATCTGGAAGTGTGCACTGTGGTGTGGACAGAGATCCAAGAGAAACCCTCCAGATCTGGCTGGAGGAGCAGGAAAGGAAACTCCTGAAGCTCAGAGAGAGTTGAGAAAATCCCTAGGTTATTTCCCACTCCCTTTTCTCCATTTTCTCACGCACCCAGTCCCCAGACAATTCTGCAGCAGGGATAGCAACGGCAGAGAGCATGGCCAGCAGCAGGAAACTGTAGGAATGCAAACTCCAAGGGAAGGAGACATTCCTCTCCATTGGGTGAAGCTGCAGTCCCCAAAGGGCAACGCCAAATACTGTTGCCTTTTTTTTTTTTTTTTTTTTTTTTTTAGACAGGGTCTCCATCTACTGCCCAGGCTGGAGCACAGTGATCTTGGCTCACTGCAACCTCCACCATCCAGGTTCAAGCAATTCTCCGGCCTCAGCCTCCCAAGTAGCTGGGACTACAGGTACACGCCACCACACCAGGCTAGTTCTTGTATTTTTAGTAGAGATGGGGTTTTGCCATGTTGGCCAGGCTGGTCTTGGGCTCCTAGACTCGCTCTGGTTGCCTAGGCTGGAGTGCAGTGATGTGATCTTGGCTCACTGCAGTCTCCACCTCCCAGGCTCAGGTGATTCTCCTACCTCAGCCTCTTGAGTAGCTCAAGCACTCAAGCAATCCACCTGCTTCGGCCTTCAAAGTGCTGGGGTCACAGGCATGCCAAGCCTCCTCCTCCTCCTTCTCTTTCTCCTTCTCCTTCTTTTTTTAGCAGAGTCTTGCTCTGTTGCCCAGGCTGGAGTGCAGTGGCGTGATCACAGCTCATTGCAGGCTCAACCTCCCGGACTCAAGCACTCTAGCTAAGTATATGTTATATTGTATATACTTAGGTTATATAATATATGCTATATAGTATATAACATATTATATAATATATATTATAGTATATTATAATATACTATAATACTATATTATAATATATAAATATTATCTATAATAATATATATATTTAAATATTTAATATGTTACTATATATAAGTATTATTACTATAAAATACTAATATATATAATATATATTAGTATATAATTATACATATTGGTATTATTACTATAGAATACTAATGTATATTATATATATTAGTATTATTACTATAGAATACTAATGTATATTATATATATTAGTATTATTGCTATAGAATACTAACGTATATTATATATATTAGTATTATTGCTATAGAATACTAACGTATATTATATATATTAGTATTATTGCTATAGAATACTAATGTATATTATATATATTAGTATTATTACTATAGAATACTATAGTAATTCCTAATAGGTCAACTCACAATGACATCTACAATTTTTTTTTTTTTGAGGCGGAGTTTCGCTCTTGTTACCCAGGCTGGAGTGCAATGGCACGATCTCGGCTCACCGCAACCTCCGCCTCCCGGGTTCAGGCAATTCTGCCTCAGCCTCCTGAGTAGCTGGGATCACAGGCACGCGCCACCATGCCCAGCTAGTTTTTTGTATTTTTAGTAGGGACGGGGTTTCACCTTGTTGACCAGGATGGTCTCGATCTCTTGACCTCGTGATCCATCCGCCTCGGCCTCCCAAAGTACTGGGATTACAGGCTTGAGCCACCGCGCCCGGCCGACATCTACAATTTTAAGTGGTCTCCTGATGACCCCAGAGACTCCATACTAAGAATGCATCTTTATTTTTGTCTCACAAAGTGCCTCAGAACTGTAAACTTTAAAAAAAAATATGGAGTGCTTCATGCATTTGCGTGTGATCCTTGTGCGGAGCCCATGCTAATCTCTGTAGTGTTCCAGTTTTAGTAGATATGCTGCTGAAGTGAGTACAAAACTGTCAAGTTCTATTCAAAAGGGAGAGAGAAAATCAATTTCATTAGGAGGTGAATTATCCAATCATGAATCTTTATCCTGTAGAAATTACTGGCAGGCCAGGCACAGCGGCTCACACCTATAATCCCAGCACTTTGGGAGGCTGGGGTGGGCAGATCACCTGAGGTCAGGAGTTCGAGACCAGCCTGGCCAACATGGTGAAAACCTGTCTCTACTAAAAATACAAAAATTAGCCGGGTGTGGTGGCATGTGCCTGTAGTTCCAGCTACTCAGGAGGCTGAGGCAGGAGAATTGCTTGAACCCAGGAGGCGGAGTTTGCAGTGAGCCGAGATCGTGTCACTACGTGCCAGCCTGGGTGACAGAGTGAGACTTGGTCTCAAAAAAAAAAAAAAAAAAAAAAATCACTAGCAGAAGGGCTTTCAACAGATTGTCGTCTTTAATCTTTCAACCTGTCTGGGACCATATCTGTGGCTGTATAAACTCCAGGAAGATGGGAAGCAGTCTACAGTCAGTTGCTCTGAGCTCTGCGGCGTTCCACGCTGAACGTGCATAGGACCAGGACAGCAGGGCCAACAATGTGAGGCAGCAGTGTGGAGAGGTGGGAATAGCAGAGATGGAGAATCAGCTTTGGCTAACTTAGAGGGTTATCATGATGAGAAATATATGTAAAATTCATTATCTAATTAAAAACTACAGATACAATTATTATTTTTGAGATGGAGTTTCTCTCTGTTGCCCAGGCTGGAGTGCAGTGGTGTGATCTCAGCTCACTGAAACCTCTGCCTCCAGGGTTCAAGCGATACTACTGCCTCAGTCTCCCAAGTAGCTGGGACTATAGGTGTGCACCACCACACCTGGCAATTTTTTTTTTTTTTTTTAGTAGAGACGAGGTTTCACCATGCTGGCCAGGATGGTCTTGCTCTCCTGACCTCGTGATCCACCCGCCTCAGCCTCCCAAAGTGCTGGGATTACAAGTATGAGCCACTGCGCCCAGCTGATAAAATTCTTTTAAAACTGCATATAAGTCATTCTGCAACCATCTTAATAAAGATTGGTTCAAGAAAGAATCATCAATGAATGTAAAACCTAAGGGAGAAATTTGGATGAGGACCAGGGTATTTGCATGGACTTAAAATATCTCCTCATGTTGTAGCCGGACTCCAAGATACCTCCTAATGATTCCTACCTTTCGGTATTCTCACCCTTAGATAGTTCCCTCTGTCACTTTGTGACCCAGCATATGGCAGAAGTGATAGTATGTCACTTCCGAGATTGGTTAAAGACTGTAGCTTCCATCTTGAATCTTGGGTGCATGTGTGTTTTTCTCTCTCTCTTTCTTTCTCTCTCTCTCTCTCCTTTTACCACTGGTTCTAGGGGCAGCCACGTCCTGAGCAGCCCTATGGAGAGACCCACCGGCTAAGGAACTGAAGCCTCCTGCCAATCCCTATGTGAGTGAGCTTGGAAGTAGACCCTCCAGACCCATTCAGGGAATCCAGCCTTTTCTGAGGCTGCAGCCCATGCAGAACGCTTGACTACAGTCTTATGAGATAGCCTTAACTGAGTCCATCCAGCTAAGCTGCACCCAGATCCTTGACCTTCAAAAACCATGTGAGATAATAAATATTTCTTATTTTAAGCCTCTAAGTTTCAGGGTAATTTGTCATATAGCAATAGATAACTAAGAACCCCCACAAATTGCTTATAAATTGCATTTAAAAATAGTTATCTAGTAGAGAAATCTGACAAGGCCTTAAGCTGGTGATCAAAATCACCAATGAGGGGACACATGCACATCGTGTTCCTCCAGATGGGTTACCCTGAGAACAGAACATTATCTGTGCGGTCTTCCAGTCAGGAATGTATAACATCAACTTGATCACAAGCAAACACCAGACAAATACTAAATAAGGAATGCCCTATTAAAAAACAGGGGAGTTGGGTAGGACTGGCTGTATTCTTAAAAAATGGCAACATTATAAAAAACAAAGAAAGGCTATGAAAATGTTCCAGTTTTAAAAAAGATCAAAGAGATATGAAAATGAAATGCAATCCACAACCCTAGACTGGATCCTGTGCTAGAGGGGAAAATGCAAGAAAGGACATTTTTGCACAATTGACAAAATTGGGATATAGATAGTATATCAGATAAGGTGATTGTATCAATGTTAAACTTCTTTTTTTTTGAGACAGAGTCCCACTCTGTCAGTCAGGCTGGAGTGAGTGGTACAATCTCAGCTCGCAGCAACCTCTGACTCCTGGGTTCAAGTGATTCTCCTACCTCAGCGTCCCAAGCAGTTGGGATTACAGGTGCCCACCACCACACCCAGCTAAATTTTTTTGTATTTTTAGTAGAGACGGAGTTTCACCATATTGGCCAGGCTGGTCTCGAACTCCTGACCTCAGGTGGTCCGCCTGCTTCGGCCTCCAAAGTGCTGGGATTACAGGCATGAGCCATCGCGCCCAGCCTAAACTTCTTTAAGTTGATCACTCTAACTAACTGTGGTCATGTAAGAATACGTCATCTTTCTTGGGAAATTCATACTGTAGCATTTTAGGAGTAAAGGCACATAGAATATATATGAGACCTACTCTCAAATGATTCTGGAGATAGACTGGGCGCAGTGGCTGACACCTGCAATCATAGTACTTTGGGAGGCCAAGGCATGAGGATCACTTGAGCTCAGGAGTTCAAGACCAGCCTGGGCAACATAGTGAGATCTCATCTCTATTTATTGATTTAGTTTTTTAAAAAAGACTCTGGACATAAATGTGTTTAGATATATACAGACAGCAAATGCTAAAGCAAACGGAACAAAACGTTAGCAATAGGTGAAACTGGGTAAAAAGTATACAAGTGTGGTTTGTACTGTTCTTACTTTTTCCTGTAAATTTAAAAATATCTCTGATTTAAACATTCACAACAAAACCTTTGTATTTTTTTAGTGCTACAAGTTACTCAGGCAATAATAAAAGAAGAATCCAAGATTCATTATAAAGAACATTTTTGAGGTAGTGAGAAATTTATTTATTAAGTTCATTCATTTTAGGGTCTCACTCTGTCATCCAGGTTGGAGTGCAGTGGCATGATCTTGGCTCACTGCAGCCTCGACCTCCTGGGCTCAGATGATCCTCCCAACTCAGCCTCCTGAGTAGCTGGGACTACAGGTGCCCGCCACCACACCCCGCTAAATTTTTGTATTTTTGGTAGACACGGGGTTTCATCATGTTGCCCAGGCTGGTCTCCAACTCCTGGGCTCAGGCAACCTGCCGGCCTTGGCCTCCCAAAGTGCTGGGATTACTGGCGTGAGCCACCACCCCTGCCAGTAGTGAGAACTTTGTATGTCAAAGTATTTCCTCCAAGGCTCAGTAAGTAGTTGTTAAGAGAAATCTCACCAGCAAAGTACCTCCCGGCAGGATCCACCTTCCCATCATTGAAGCGATTGTTTTTCTTGTCGTTATCCACTGTGGCCAGGACAATTACTGATTGTTCTTCCCAGTTCAAAGCACAGAACTTTGTTCCAATGGTGGCAACATAACCTCCCGACTGGCGAAGAGCCACAGAGCTGACTGGGGCATCTGCAGCGGCAAAGCAGCAGTTAAAAGGCAGCACCAGTTTAGTGGCTGAGGCCACTGAGGTCACTGTGCTACCTGGCATCTCTTGGAGTGGCAGCCCAGCTCTCGTGACAATGGGAGCGCTCTCTTCCTTCTGTTGAGTAGGGAAGGCTACGTAACCTAGTATATTTGTTGAGTATGAATTCTGTTTGCTGATCTGGGTAGCAATAGACAGAAATGTGAGTAAAACCCAACTCCTCTGGAAGCTCCCAGTCTAGTGGGAGAAGCAGAGAAGTGAAAGCACAGTGGCCATGATATGGGGCAGGTGCCACATCCAGTTCAGAGGAGGAGTTTCTAATCTACAGGCACCAGGACAGTCATCACAGAGTGAGTGATGCTCTATTTTGCCAGAAAATGCTCCAGAAAATTCAGAGACACAAACTGAGTTTAGTTACATGAGGCAGGTTTTGTGATACCTCTCTCCCTCTCCAATCCAGGATCCTTCCTTCCTTCCTTCCTTTCTCTTTCTTTCTTTCTTTCTTTCTATCTCTCTCACACACTCTCTCTTTTTTTCTTTCTTCTTTATTTTTGAGACAGAGTTTGGCTCTTGTTGCGCAGGCTGGAGTGCAGTGGTGCAATCTCGGCTCACTGCAACCTCTGCCTCCTGGGTTCAAGCAATTCTCCTGCCTCAGCCTTCTGAGTAGCTGGGATTACAGGCACGCACCACCATGCCTGGCTAAATTTTTTTTTTTTTTTCCAGTAGAAATGGGGTTTCACCATGTTGGCCAGGCTGGTTTCAAACTCTTGACCTCAAGTGATCCACCAGTCTTGGCCTCCCAAAGTGTTGGGATTATAGGCTTGAGCCACCGCGCCCGGCCGCTCCCTTTCATTTAAAAAAAAAAAAAAAAAAGGAAGTTTGAGGCTGGGCGTGGTGGCTCATGCCTGTAATCACAACACTTTGGGAGGCCAAGGCAGGAAGACAGCTTGACCCCGGGAGTTTAAGACCAGCCTGGGAAATATAGGGAGACCCCGTCTCTACAAAATCATCATAATAATAGCTAGGTGTGGTGGTTATGTACCTGTGGTTCCAGCTACTCAGGAGGCTAAGGTGGGAGGATCGCTTGAGCCTGGGAGATTGAGGCTACAGTGAGCCATGTTTGCATTATTGCACTCCAGCCTGGGTGACAGAGCCAGACCCTGTCTCACAAAAAAAAAAAAAAAAAAAAAAAAAAAAAAAAGGAAAGAAAAAGAAAAAAATTGAGGTTCCCAGTTCTGGGTTGACAAAGAGTGTCCTAAGGTTATAGGAATTCCTGATGTTTTTTTCCCATGGGCTTAGTGTAAACAAGAAACTTCCTTCTCTGTTGGTAATCACATCAAGCCTGTTCCCTTGGGCCATAGAAAGAGATAAATCCCTTCTTCAGAATTCACAGGGCCATAAATGCATCACATTCAAAATCCGTTGTGAATCCTATTTTGTGCAGTGATCAAAGATAGCCCTGGTTTATATATCCAAAAGCTAGTTTTCACATTCAAAGAAGGGAAACACCTGTTTTGTTTTGTTTTCTTGTTTAAATTAAGGTCTTAGCCTCACCCAAGGCAGATAACTGGGTCTTTAACTTTCTGTGGCTATATGATGGTATTAAGGAAAGACAGGATCCCTGCATCCAGACTAAACTGGGAATGGGCTGGGCATGGTGGCTCACGCCTGTAATCCCAACACTTTCTTTGGGAGTCGAGGTGTGTGGGCAACATGGTGAAACCTCATCTGCACAAAAAATACAAACTAGTTGGACATAGTGGCACACACCTGTGGTCATAGTTACTAGGGAGGCTGAGGCAGGAGGATCCCTTGAGCCCCAGGAGATCAAGGCTGCAGTGAGCCATGATCACACCATGGCACTCCAGCCTGGAAAACACAGTGAGACCCTGTCTCAAAATAAAATAAAACAAAACAAAAGCAAAAACTGGGAATGTTGCCCCTCATTCGAAGAGGAAGAGGAAAGTATCGACCATCCATAATTAATCTCTGGGTCCAAGTGGGAGGATATGGACTGGGGACACAGGCAGCATGACGAGTGTATTTAGTGTGCTTGAACAAGAAGGGCATCATGGTGACTGCCCCTCCCCTGGGAAAACATAGCTGACTGATCTCAGCCCAGCCTTCATCCTTACCCACGGTCACTCGCTGTACTTGCTTGGTGAGCGAATCCCACTGGCAAATCTTTTTTGCAGGAATGTCTACGAAGAGCAGAGAGTTGGACGCTTCCACCCACACTGGAGACTCACCACACCGGCAGTTCTCCGGCAAAATACACTCGATCTTAATGGAAGACATGGTCACGGAGGAGATCTATGGAAGGTAACAGAGGTGATTGAGAGGTCATCGCACAGAACAAATAGAGTAAAACACCTGGCTAAGAACGGGCAAGGCCGGATACACCTCCCCCAAATCAGACCAAGATATGAAATGTGACTGGGAGAGACACACGTAGGCAAAAGAAAAGAGCTGATAAGAGAGACCGTGACACATCTTCAACCAACTTACAGTGACGTGTTTCTCAAATGATCTTTTAAAAAGAAAACAAAAAAGCAACACTCTGACCTCCACTCCTTGGCGTTTGTGACCCTCAGAGAACTGGCTGTTGAAATAGTGCAAGGCCGCCCTGTATGTCAGTATCCTGGGCCCCAGGGCGGGTCAGGGAGCTGGGCAGTTTGCTCATTGGTGGCCCCCCTGGGTGTCTGCAGGGCGCCTTCTGCTCCTTGCCGTCTGTTGATGCTGTTGGGCCCCTTCTCTGAGGGTACAGAGGCCAGGGCCCTCCACACTTACATTTTTGGAGCTGCCGTATGTATGTATTATGTATGTATGTATGTACGTATGTATGTATGTACGTATGTATGTATGTATTTTTCTTCTCTGTGCGGTTGATTTTTATAAACTCCATTTTTAGGACTATGTTCACCAATGAGAACATGCTGAATTTGATCTAACACGTGTTTTCCAACACAGATCATGGAAGGAGAGGAGAAAAGAACAGCATCTAACCACCCTGGCAGAAACTGACCGCCCCTCCGTGATTTCTTGCTTCCTAGGAAGACACGGGGCCAGTTTGGCAAGGAGTGTTGGCCTCCACAGGAGAGGAACATTCTATGCTGGGACTTTAGGCCAGAGACCGTGACCGATGAACTGGGAGAAGACAGAGAAAAATTATCGGAAAAGAAGAAAAAATCAGATAAGAATCCCATGTGGGAGAGGAAAGACAGGCAATTTTCAAGAGCAGTCTTTCTTTCTGCACCTCTGCCCTGAGTAGGTGGTTTCCAGGACACTGCCTGCATCTGTCAGGCACAGTGGCTCAGGCCTATAATCGCAGCTCTTTAGGTGGCTGAGGCAGGAAGATTGCTTGGGCCCAGGAGTCTGGGACTGGTGTGGGCAACATAGTGAGACCCCGACTCTACAAAATGACCAAAAATTAGCTGGGGGTAGTGGCACGTGCCTGTGGTCCTAGCTCCTTGGGAGGCTGAGGTGGATAGATAGTTGGAGTCGGGGAGTTGGAGGCTGCAGTGAGCTGTGGCTGTGCCACTACACTCCAGCCTGGGCAACAGAGCAAGACCCTGTCTCTAAATAAATAAATAAAAATTGCTTGCATCTTCATCGTTCTCCTAGGGTAGCTATCTGCTTTGAAGTAAGTGGTCCTACACATGGATGGGCAAATGAATCCAGGAGGCAAAAAGGAAACACAGCTGGGTGCAGCGGCTCACACGTGTAATCCCAGCACTTTGGGAGGCTGAGGCGGGAGGCTCATGTGAGGTCAGGAGTCAGAGACCAGTCTGATCAACATGGAGAAAACCCATCTCTACTAAAAATACAGAAAAATTAGCTGAGTGTGGTGGCAGGTGCCTTAATCCCAGCTACTCAGGAGGCTGAGGCAGGGGAATCCCTTGAACCCCGGAGATGGAGGTTGCAGTGAGTCGCGATCACGCCATTGCACTCCAGCCTGGGCGACAAAGCCAGACTCTGTCTCCAAAAATAAATAAATAAATAAATAAAAGAGAAAGAAAAAAGAAAAATAATATTTGATCTAATATTTCCTTCAATAAACTACATTTTAAAAAAGAAAACCCAAACCAGTCCCAAATACGAACTGCCTGCATCTTGCAGCAGCATTTGGAATGTTTTCTGGCTATGAAAAATGGCCTGAGGCTGGCGTGGCTCATGTCTGTAATTCCAGCACTTTGGAGGCTCAGGTGAGAGGATCATTGAGGTCAGCAGTTCCAGACAAGCCTGGGCAACATTGTGAAATCCCATTTCTACACAAAATACAAAAAAATTAATCGGGCTTAGTGGTTCGAGCCTGTGGTCCCAGGTACTCCGGAGGCTGAGGCAGGAAAATCGCTTGAACCTGGGAAGCAGAGGTTGCAGTGAGCCGACATTGGGTCATGGCACTCCAGCCTGGGGACAGACTGAGACCTGGTCTAAAAAAAAAAAAAAGAAAAAAAAAAAAAAAGCGGGGGCGGGGAGCGGGAGGTGGGGAAGCGGTGGTTCAGATTCCAAAGGCCTTCATCCTATCAGTCTTAGATAAGGCCCAAGATCAGAGGCACGACTTTTGAAATAGCGACTTTTAACCACATGCTCACTCGGGGGAAGCCGGTGGGGAGAAGATGGGGGTGCCAAATGTTTCATTTAGGGCCGGCCCGGGGGCAGCTGGGCAGCAGGGAGTGGGGACGGGGCGTCAGGTGCCCGTGCTGCCCCAGTTACCTGTGCCGGTGAGAGGCCTCCACAACAATCTGGTAGAGCCGTTGGGGCCTCGGGCGACAGCAATGGCGACGGAGAGACCCTGGGAATCTGAAGGTTGAGCCTGTCTCGTCCCTGGCGCAGGCTTTGCAAAGGGCATACCAACCAGCCTGGCGGGCCCGGGTCCCCGGGTGGGCACAGGACAGTCGGTCTCCTGACTGCCCCTGATCGGGAGATCGGGACTAGCGGGTCTGGCTCTGTTGTCGCCAGGGCCTTTCCTTTCCAGGGAGGGGGCGGGGAGGCCAGCCTGGCCCAGGCACTCACCAGGCTGGAGACTTCTCAGGCAGCTTGAAGGTCAGGCAGCGGGCGAAGGGAAGGGAAACGCCGACCCGGACGGGAGGCTTGGCAGGTGGATCGCGCGGCACTGGGACCCGGCCTCGTCCCCCTCCCCGTCCAGTCCCCCGCGGCTGGAAGAATCCTGCAGAGCTGCCCTCAGCAGGCGCGGGGATGATGAGTACAGGCTTATGGCCCAGTGAACCTAAACTTTGGAGTTTGGACGAATAGCTAACTTACCTCTTATTTCAACAACAAAAAAGTTGTTAAATACCGAACAGAGACAGACTGGGATGGTTAAACCCAAACAGGTTAAAAAGGAAAGAACAAAGCTTCCCCTCGCCCCATCCTAATGGAGCAGACCCTGGTGGCTGAAGGCCAACTCTTGCAGAAACATTTTTGGTGGGGGAAGAGGAAAGACTCCATTTCAGTTTCAAATTATAAGGAAAACACTTTCCTCAACAGCACTCAGCTCCTCATCCCCATTCTCAGCCTAAATGTATTCCTGGTCCTGCAATCTGTCCGTCCAGGCTTTCTCTAACTAAGCCACATTAAAAAAAAAAAAAAAAAAGTCAGGGCCAGTGCAGTCGCTCAAGCCCATAATCCCAGCACTTTGGGAGGCTGAGGTGGGTGGATCGCTTGAGCCCAGGAGTTTGAGATGAGCCTGGTAACAAAGGAAGACTTCGTCTCTACTGAAAACAAAAACAAAACAAAACAAAAAAACCGTAGTCCCAGAACTTTGGGAGGCTGACGAGGGCAGATCACCTGAGGTCAGGAGTTCAAGACCAGTCTGACCAACATGGTGAAACCCCGTCTCTACTAAAAATACAAAATTAGCTGGGTGTGGTGCTGCATGCCTGTAATCCCAGCTACTCAGGAGGCTGAGGCAGGAGAATCACTTAAATCCGGAAGGCGGAGGTTACAGTGAGCTGAAATTGCGCCATTACATTCCACCTGCGCAACAAGGGCGAAACCCCTTCTCAAAAAAAAAAAAAAAAAAAAAAAAATTATCTGGGTGTGGTGGTGCGTGCCTGTAGTCCCAGCTACTCAGGAGGCTGAGGCCGGAGGATCACTTGAGTCCATGACATCAAAGCTGCAGTGAGCTGTATTTCTGCCACTGCACTCCAGCTTTGGTGACCGAGCGGAACTCTGTCTCAAAAACAAACAAAAAGAACTCCCTTCCCTCTCTTCATCTACTTCCTCAGTGCTGATGTCTCCCTGACCTTATCTCGGCCCAGATGTTGCCCTCAGGATACAGGCCAGTAGCTCAACTGAGCTGTCCCAAACCAATCACATCATTTCCCACTAACCTCCTGAGCACTCTGCCTTGGGAAACGGGCTGTGTTTCAGCCAATGAGCTGTGCAAGAAGCCCTGACATCTCATGAGCCTCCTCTTCGTCCCTAACTCAAGTCCAGTTAGTCACCAGGTCATAGAATTGTCCCTTTAATGTCCTGTGTTGACACTGCAGTAATTCATTCAGGCCTTCCCTGTTTCTGTCTTTTTTTTTTTTTTTTTTTTTTTTTGAGACGGAGTTTCGCTCTTGTTGCCCAGGCTGGAATGCAACAGTGTGATCTTGGCTCACCGCAACCTCCGCCTCCCGGGTTCAAATGATTCTCCTGCCTTAGCCTCCTGAGTAGCTGGGTTTACAGGCATCTGCCACCATGCCTGGCTAATTTTGTATTTTTAGTAGAGACAGGGCTTTTCCATGTTGATCAGGCTGGTCTTGAACTCCTGACCTCAGGTGATCTGCCAGCCTTGGCCTCCCAAAGTGCTGGGATTACAGGTGTGAGCCACCGCGCCTGGCCAGGCCTTCCCCATTTCTTGCCCACATTGTTGTCATCTTCCTGGAGGCCTCATCTCATCCCTGTGGATCTGCTGCCAAAACGACTTCCTAGACAGTGAGTCTTGTAGGGGAGGAGATGTATGTTACTCACTCTCGCCTCCCCGGGTGCCACCGCAATGCAGATACATAGATGTTTTTCAACTCTATGCTTTTTAGACCGTGCACTGTGGCTCACCCCTGTAATCCCAGTACTTTGGGAGGCTGAGGCAGGAGGACCACTTGAGGCCAGGAGTTTGACATCAGCCTGGGCAATACAGCAAGATCTCGTCTCTATTTAAAAAAAAAAAATTAGATCAGGGCACAGTGGCTCATGCCTGTAATCCCAGCACTTTGGGAGGCTGACATGGGTGGATCACGAGGTCAGGAATTCAAAACTAGCCTGACCAACATGGTGAAACCCCGTCTCTAATAAAAAAAAAAAAGTAAAAAAATAAAAAAATAGCTGGGTATGGTGGCATGTGCCTGTAATCCCAGTTACTCAGGAGGCTGAGGCAGGAGAATTGCTTGAACCAGGACCCGGGAGGCAGAGGTTGCTGAGCCGAGATCGCGCCACTGCACTCCAGCCTGGGCTACAGAGCGATAATCCATCTAAAAAAAAAAAAAAAAAAAAAAAAAAAAGTTAGCCAAGTGTGGTGGCAAGAGCCTGTGGTCCCAAGTTACTGGGGAGGCTGAGGTGAGAGGATCGCTTGAGTCGGGGAGTTCAAGCCTGCAGTGAGCCATGATCACGACACTGTACTTCAGCCTGGGTGACAGAGTGGGATCCTGTCTCTAAAACCAAAACAACAACAACAAAAACTATATGCTTTTTCCTTTTTCTTTCTTTTTTTTTTTGCTGAGAGGGGTACCTTTATTTTAAAAAAATTTAGTCTTACAGAAAAGTTGCAAGAATAATAGAAAAAAATTCATGATTACCCTTCACCCAGATTCCCCAAATGTTAAGTTTACCACATCTGCTTTATCCTTCTCTCTCTTACTTACATATACATCTAGGTAGAATTTTTTTCTGCTAGTTTGGGAGCAAGTTGCAGACCTGATGCTCCTTTACCTTTAAATACTGTACTTCAGTCTTGGCGCGGTGGCTCACGCCTATAATCCCAGCACTTTGGGAGGCCGAGGCGGGTGGATCACAAGGTCAGGAGTTCAAGACCAGCCTGACCAACATGGAGAAACCCCATCTCTACCTAAAATACAGAATTAGCCAGGCGTTGTGGCGCGTGCCTATAATCCCAGCTATTCTGGAGGCTGAGGCAGGTGAATTGCTTGAACCTGGGAGGCGGAGGTTGGAGTAAGTTGAGATTGCACCATTGCACTCCAGCCTGGGCAACAAAAGTGAAACACTATGTCAAAAAAAAAAAAAAAAAAAAATACTGTACTTCAGAGTGTGTTTCCTGAAAGCAAGGGCATTCTCTTGCATAAACACACAGCACAATGGTCAAAATCAGGTAAATTATCATTGATACAGGATTATCTATTGAAGTCTCACCAAAAGTCCAACTAATGTCCTTTATAACAAAAAGAAGAAAGAAGTTTCATGCCTAAATCCAATCCAAGGTAAGGCATTGCATTTAGCTGCATTTAGTCCCTTTTCACCTGGAACAGCTCCTCAGCCTTTTTTTTTTTTTTTTCCCCTGACGTTGACTCAAAATGTAGAATGTCCTTTAATTTGGGATTCCTTGATTTTTCCTCATGGTTAATTCAGGTTATGCCTTTTTGGCAATGCTACAAAAGTGATGCTGTATCCTTAGCATCTGCAGGCAAACAATGTTGATTTGTTAACTTTAATAATATTTGGTTATGAATCTTTTAAAATTGGCTGGGCATGGTGGCTCATGTCTGTAATCCTGGCACTTTGGGAGGCCGAGGTGGGTGGATCACTTGAGGTCAGGAGTTCAAGACCAGCCTGGCCAACATGGTGGAACCCCTTTTCTTTTCTTTTCTTTTTTTTCAAGAGACGGAGTCTCACTCTGTGGCCCACGCTGGAGTGCAGTGGTGTGATCTCGGCTCACTGCAACCTCCACCTCCCAGGTTCAAGTGAACCCGCACCACCACACCTGGTTAATTTTTGTATTTGTAGTAGAGATGGGGTTTCACCATGTTGGTCATGCTGGTCTCGAACTCCTAACTTCGTGATCCGCCCGCCTCAGCCTCCAAAAGTGGTGGGATTACAGCCGTGAGCCACTGTGCCTGGCCTGTGAAACCCCATTTCTACTAGCTGGGTGTGGTGGCACGTGCCTGTAATCCCAGCTACTAGGGAGGCTGAAGCAGGAGAATTGCTTGAACCCAGGAGGCAGAGGTTGCAGTGAGCCGAGATTATGCCACTGCACTCCAGCCTGGGTGACAGAGTGAGACACTGTTTCAAAAAATAATAAATAAAATGTAAAAATAAAGTGTAGTCACAGTACCCTGCAATGGACCCTGAGCACACAGGCCCTTCAAACTTGTGGGGAGTCCTTTCTTGACCTCTGTCATTTTCTGGCCATGTTCTCTGCTTCTTGACTTTGAACTTGCTATTCCTTTTTCCTGGAACGCTTTTCTCTGACCACTAATCCAATGCTCCCCTCTGCACTGGACTAAGTCCTAAGAGTCAGTTGAATGTCCCCTCCACCAGGAAGACTTCGCTGACCCTCCTGGCTCTCTGACCTATTGCTCTCCCAGGAGTGTCTCTTTATGTTTTATTACATTACTCATCACACTGAGATACATTGGTTTATCTGTCTCTCCTGCTTCATCAGGAGCTCTCTCAGGGTACATCAGGATCTAGGATTACAATATAAGTGCTCTTTATTCGAAGACCACCTGCAGTTAAACAAATCTGGGTTCATTGACTCCTTATAGCGAGGAGGGAGAACACACGCCACGGGGTACTCTGGGATGTCTCAGTAACAGGCCGTTAGAAAGAACCCACTATAGGAACACTCCTACACTGTTGGTGGCAGTGTAAACTAATTCAACCATTGTGGAAGACAGTTTGGCGATTTCTCAATGACCTAAAAATAGAAATCCCATTTGACCCAGCAGTCCCATTACTGGGTATATATCCAAAGGATTATAAATCATTCTACTATAAGGACACGTGCACACGAATGTTCATTGCAGCACTGTTTACAATAGCAAAGACCTGGAACCAACCCAAATGCC